CAATAAAAAATAGAATTAAAAAGTAATAAAAAATAAATAATTAACAAAAAAATATTATAAAAACAGAATTGATAATAAAATAATTAAATAATAAAAAATTATTATTTTTAGCAAAAGGGCATTAAACTAGGAAGTATACATATATTTTTATGAACCACTGAATAAATTGTTATATACTTTAAATTATTATTTATTAATTATATTATAACTTATATTATTAATTAGTTTATAATACCTACATATGTACATGTACCCTTTGTTCCCTTTCATATGTCTTATTTAAAAGTTTATTTCATAAAGACCAAATTGTAACTAAGCTAAGGCAAATTTTTGGAAAAGTATTTAGAAAAAATCAACTGCCAGCATTGCTAAAGACATGTATGTATGTAAATAATACGATATTTATAGCCGCGATAGCCGAGAAAATTAATTAAAAGCAAATTAAGTTAAATTTTCTAATTGGGATCGCCCCTCGGCAGGGAATGAAATTAAGGCTCCTCGTAAAAAAAACCACCCGCCGTTCGGAAGCGGTTTGGTATCAATTGCAGATCCCTCCATTTGTTGGAAAGACATCAAGACGCAAAACCACAAATTGGGATCGGAGCTCGGCCAAAAAAAATCGCTTCAGCGGTTGCAAAGCGCCAATTATATATGTATATGTATAGAAAACTTTATCAGGCACAAAATGTATGCAGATACATACAAGTATTCATTTATATACCGTTTCAAATATTTCGTTTAAAGAGAAACACAAATTTTCGCATATATATGACTTAATATTAATTTATAAACGTGTTTTGCTTGCTAAAATTAAAAAAAAATTTTTTTTTTTTGGAAATTCGTTTGACTTATTACATATAAATGTAAAAATTAAGTAATCAGCTTCTCGTTATACAATTCTCTTACGCTCACTTATTGTAGAATATCTCCTTAAACGAAAAACAAAAATCAAATCAGCAAAGCTACAACAACAAAAATAGTTAGTTTAGGCAAAGCGAAGTTAAACAAATTGGCAAGTGCACTTACATATTATATGAAAAGCATTTAAAACAATACAAAATGAAATGCAGGCAAAACAGAAAAAATAATATTGCAGCGTAAACAAGGAATAAAAAAATACAAAAACAAAAATTAACATAAGTAATATTACAAAATTATCGCAAACAATATTATGAATATTAAAAATATACAAACACATACATACATACACACATAAAAGCCTAAATATATACATATATACGAGTATAAAAGTAATTTAAGTAAATTTAGTAAAATAACAAAAAACAAAAACAAAAATAAAAATAATAAATACTAGTTCTAACAAATTTAGTAAAGTTATATGCAAATTAATAATGAAAGTAGAGCAAGAGAAAAAACAAAAGCAACAAAAACAAGCCAACTTATTAACAGTTTATTACATTTTTCTATAGCAAAAAGTCAAGTGAAAATTCAAAAGAAGCTAAACATCGAGCCAAAAGCTTAACGAAAGTATGGCAAAAAAAAAAAAGAAAACAAATAAATAATATTATTAACAATAGAAAAAATATTAAATAAAAAATAAAAAAAAATATTAAAATCAAATAACCAACTAGTANAAAAAAAAAAAAAAAAAAAAAAAAAAAAAAAAAAAAAAAAAAAAAAAAAAAAAAAAAAAAAAAAAAAAACAAATAAATAAAGAAAAGTTAAAAAAAAAATTATGTTACAATAATGTAATGAGGAATTAGCTTAATAATATTGATATATTGTAATGAAACACAACAAAAAAAATTATAATAATAATCCATAAAGATATGTATGACAACAGAATTATTAATAAATAATACTATATTTAATATAAATAAATTTAATGAATAGCATTTGTGTCTTTTTACTCCTCAATTATTTGCTGGGCGCTATTTTGGGGTTTACTTTTGCGTTTGGGCTTGAACGAAAATGAGTGAAGAGAATCAGAAATTGTGTTGTTGTTGTTGTTGTTGTTGTGGTAGTAGGAAATATATTTCTCTAAAGGGTCGATATGACCAAGGGTACCTTCTATGATTACTTGGAACAGCTTGTAATGGACTGAGGCTGATCGACTATGCCGCGTTGGAAATATCGTTTTTTATGGTACTAAATTTCGGCATATGAAAATCCATTAAGCTACCGGCGGGTCGAGAAACTCGTAAGCCAATCGACCATGTTCAGTGTTCCAAACGAGATCCAAATATCGACCCTGCTCACCATCTAGTCACAGTTCTCTGTGTATCAAAGAAAGCTCGCAACAAACACAAGGAGGGCGCACAAACTACGTACAGAACAGACGGAAATGAAACTATTGGTTGACGGCAAGATCGAAAGAAGATTTGTTGCAAAGGGGATTGTCATACCGCGGTTTATATAAAACAGATTTTCTACCTCGCAAAATTACGAGTAACTGCAAGGCGTGATGTATGGAAGAGTGAAAAGCATATGCAGACAGAAAAAGGGAGAGGTCAAAATGCTATGTATGTTTGAAGTTGGATGACAGAGCTAATGCTGGGAGTTTTTACAAGAAAATGCTGCGTTTAAAGATGAGAGCATGCTCATGGGGGATCCAAATCTATGCTTTGAACTATGACCAGAGCATACTGAGCTTATGGACGGAAGACTTACTTCTTCATCCAACTGACTGGTGAATCCGATTTCCCAACTGTTGACGATGTACACCCGACTATTGCGAAGTTCGAATAGACATTGTTCGCCTTAAGAACAGCAAAGCGATTGTTTACTGGCTAAGCCTTTCATGTATGGCGGCGGGAACTTATAAATATCAGTTGCTTTGCAAAATCTGATCATATGAGTGCATGTCTGAAGACTGGAATAGTGTGCTCTGCCTAATCCACAAAAATCTCGTCAGAAAAGCCTATGCTATACGTGGCTTTGGTATCCGCGCAAAATTTTTGTGGGTGTGTAAACTGAAGTTTGAAAACTGAAGATGACCAAAATCAAAAGCTCCGACAGCATCAGCAAAATGAATGAATAGTAAAATCTTTCCTGGGTAACCCGTTATCGTGCGTGCTTAATTTAATGCCAGGGAAAGTAATACGAGCAGAACTAAACAGAAAAGGTTCGATCTGCTACAAGAGTGTACAACGTGTGGCAATGACAATAATATCATTTGCCTTAACAACCTCGTCGTTGGGTCTGCTTTCCTAAGGCACATAATAAGCTTTACTTTCGCAAAGGTCTGCTGGTGAAGAAAAACAAAACGAAATATCTCCTGTCGTTAAAGAAACAGTCAACACACTTGCAAATTGGCTCCGACGTCACTATTGACAGTCGTAACTTTGAAGATGCAGACAACTTCCTATGTCTTGGAACCAGCACTTGAGCCTTGGATCACGTCATCCGGATGAATGAAAACTTCCGAAAGTATTCGATGCAGTACTCATTAGAGGTGACAGCAGGTGGGGTCTAGGCATCGTCGTTGTTAGCGAATCATGCGAACAAAAACTTTTCATCTTCCTGAGATCGACCTGGGCTGGGTAAACTGGCTGCTGTATCAGATTTAATTTTTAAATAATCGGTTTAATCAATTTTGTATGTTCGATATGAAATAATTTATTAAAAACGCGGCACAGCTATTGCCAACTTCTTATGCAGCAGCTAATCTCTGAAAACTGCCCATAGACGACCTTGAAGGCGGACTTTCAAATAAATAAAATATTTCACGAGGAAACCAACGCCGAAATTGCGCTCCTTTCTTTCAGTAAACAGTATGTCTCTACATATGTCGAGAATTTAGCAGAAACTACTACCAAGCGAAGGTTCGAAACTTCACCAGAATGTGAGGGGTTACTTAGGAGGGTATTTCCTCTCACAAGGTTTTTCTCAAATGATATACCAATCTCTTCATAAAACTCCAAAGGGTGCAGAGAATATCTCTCATATATATTATATTAGTGAGCTACTGCGGATCAGGCAGCCAGACAGCATTAAGAGCCCTGCAATCTAATCTATCACAATAAAAAAAGCCGATAGCAGTTCTCTTTAAACATAGTAACGAGATGTCACACGAGATTGCAAGGAAGAGTCTGAAAATTCGTCATATGAGAGTCTTTGAGCGCAGATGTGAACTCGAGATGGAAAAGTCTCAATTGCTGCAATCTAATTAGAATAATGAGACCGACTCGACACAGGAGAAGGTCAAGAGAGCGCATCTCGCTATAAAGGAAACAGCTGCCCATAATGCTGGATCTTCTAACTTAACATCTTCATTTAGGTAGGCACGCAGTTTTAATGGACGCACCATCAAATGAGTTCTGCAGGAGTTGTAGACAGGAGGACCTTAAAAAACTTCCTTCGCGATCGCATCTTGGAGGAATCGGTTGAAGTCTCTAGCGGAGCTAAATGGGATTCTCACTGCTATCACAATGGGCACGAATGGTAGGCTAAGTGTGCTGATGGCCGACAGCCACTTCAATCTAACCTAACCGACTTATAGGACGGTCGTGGTACGGAATTTGAGAAAAAACGAAACAAAAGCTATGATGGGATGCCTCCATCAAGAAGAAGAAAAATACGTTACGTACTCTGTTTTCCGTCAAAGCCTACGGCTGAACGTACATACATACTCGTATATACATATGTGTACTCATGAACACTTATTTGATTACTCAAGCATTTACTTATATTCCAATTTGGCACTGAGCCGAACCGGTTTTGGCTCAACGAAGCTCGAAATATTAATTTAAATATTTGGCCAAAGGGGGCGGGGCATCTCCACAAGCGGGTACCGAATTTGGTTATTCTGAAGACACAATCAACGACAACATGAAAATAAACAAAGAAACTCCATGACATTCCATTTCAAGGTTTTTTTTTTGTTTTCATAACATTTTTCTTTATTTTTGTTTTGAAAAATGATACTTTAGTATTTTTAGGCTTTTCAAGTTCAAAGCTAAGAGCGAGCTCGCCGCAAGATGTTGACAGCGATCAATGAAGATCAAAGAGCGAAAGTGAAAGAGAGAGAGAGAGAGAGAGAAGTAGGGAGTGCGCACACAAGTCAACAAGTGACTTCATTTAGGTTTCAATTGCCAGAGCTGCGCACAACCAAAGCTCCAAAGTCTCAGTTGCCGTTCAGCTGGACCACAATTTGGTTCGATCGTTTTGATGCGTTTTCTTCACCATTGATTGGGCTGTTGCGCTGGTTTAGTGTTATTTGCAATGTATATGAAGTGTGGCTTGAACACAAGTCTACGTTGATCCAAAATAAAAATAAAAAATACCCAAACGCACTCGTGAGTGAAAGTGAAGATCCAGTTTTTGAAGCAAAAATATTCACTTTCTGCATTTAGTTAATAATGAAACGGTCGCTTTAGTTCCCAAATATGTTCTTTAGAAACGTTGTTTGTCTGCTGATTGGCTTAATAGTTGGTGTGCGTCTCACTGACTTCTGGGATTACGTCAAGCTGCAGCAGTTGAGTAATAATTTGCGTGAGAATTACACAAATACCACTCATTCGCTGGGGTTGAGGTTGCGGTTGACGCAGGAGGACACGCTTGCGGATTATTTGTTTAATAATACTCGCGTGCTATGTTGGATCATGACCATGCCGGAGAATCACTTAAAGCGCGCTGTGCATATACGGAACACTTGGGGTAAGCGTTGTAATAAGTTGCTCTTCATGAGCACGAAAGCGGATAGCTTTTTGGATACTGTGCCGTTGGATGTGCCCGAGGGTCGTGATTATTTGTGGCATAAGACACGCGCTGCGTTCAAATATGTTTACGAGCATCACGGAGATGAAGCGGATTGGTTTCTCAAAGCCGATGATGATAGGTTAGTGGTCTGTGCTTGACTGTTTGGAAATTTTGTTTTATTTTTTAATCTCATTGAATATTTTCAGTTACTTCATAATGGAGAATTTGCGATCTTTCCTATACCAGTATTCGGCAGATGCTCCGGTTTATTTTGGCTGCAAATTTCATCCTTTTGTTAAACAGGTAAATCCATATGCACATAAAGATCTGATCAGCTAACCGAAAACCACTAACCAGTGGCTAAAATACAACTGTTTTTAAACTGAGTAGACTGCCTTCGAAGCTTCCAACTACACGTATGATTTCATAACTCACTTCTGTTATTGGACCTGAGATCAGGCTTTCATCGCCTGCCCTCGGGAAAAGGCCGAACGAGGATTTGTGATATTTTCTACAGTAGGGATGTAAGAGCTTCAATGCCCAGAGCGGAATAAATGGATAAATTTAACAGTTTTGATGCAAAGCATTCACTGACGTCGAGCTGGGCTGTGTAGTTCACTTAGTATCGGCACAAGCAAGAGATTTCTAGATCCCTGCTGTGTTTTTCAATCATAACTATCCGACTTGTAGTTACTTAACTCTACAATAGTAACTCAATCCATCACAATGTATTCAGACAGTCGCACCTCATTAAGTCGCCTCAATGCCATCACTCCAACTCACAGGGACACCCCAGGGGAATGTCAGGCTGTTGAGCCAGCAAGAAGGTGAACAGTCCTAACTGAGTGGGCAGAAGTGTGAAGTGTGCACTGCATCTAAACAGGATCTTTTTGGGCATAATAACCGAACATTGTTTGATGGGGCTCTTGGTAAGAGGATACATATTTCTCTAATGACTTCAGTCGCTGCTGCTGCAGTCGAGGTGGAGTCGGTATATCATTAGATTTGCCCTAGCACAACCTGTTAGTGCGTTCTAACATTATTTCTACGATAATTTATAATTCGACTGTTTAGTAGGGCTAATTCCATCAAATTCATAAAACACACGAAATGTTTTGAATATCTAGGATGATGAGAGGAACCTCTTTTCACAGGCCCAGTATACGTGATACCACGAGTTAGCAGGCTTAAGTGCGCATGAACAGGGTGCCGTGATTGAGCAACCTCAACAACCAACTAACTGTAGGAGACACATTGTCGCGTATATGACGAATCTTCCTCCGGTGGGCTGAGGATCACGGCTTTGCGAGGGTGCCATATAATGGGGAACTGGGGACTGTACATACAACTTTTCAAGGATTGCTTATATCTAATTTCCATATTACATTTAGTCTTTTGACAGAAGCACTTTCTGCGTGTGCCTTCGTTACTAATACCCATTCAGGTCTAGGCCAACAACCGTCCTGAATACCTCTCGAGATTACGTGAGTCAAAAGTATGCGTGTTTTACTTCGATGCTCCCGTAAATGATTTTGGCGATGCTGCATGTCGGGTGTTACCCTGATCCATTTGTCAGCACAATTTGAAAATTTCATAGTGCATGGTTTTTAGTGACTTGGGTATTTCCTGCACTGTCTCGGTAGCCAGTTGATGGCACTTTTGGCAACTTCTTCAACTATTTATGTGTACTCGCAAGTGGTATTTTAATTTAGTCAGAGCTGGATAATGCGGCGTCGTCAGCGTCATTAATTGGGCGAGGGTTTCCCAACTCTGAGTATTTGAGGTGATTAAGACTCAATAGGCTCTAAACAATCTATGCTTCTAAGCATTTCCGCCCCAAATTAAGACCCGACAACTTGGCGGTTACAAAGTGCCAATTCGGCTAAGACTCTAACATAAACGTACACCACAGGCAAAGAATAACGGAGTCGTGAGTCGACTGCTGTAGTGACTGGGAGCTTCTTAACATATAGGCGAGGTAGAACTCTCTACATATACTTGTACATATACTTACATAATCCTTTGATGGGTCGTACAAAAGCTGACGAATAAACTACATAATATTTTGTTTTTTGTTATGACCCCGGCATTCGGTGTGTTAACCTCGGAACAGCGCGAAGATCTTCCGAGAAGATAAATTCCGAGATATGTAGAGCTTTGCGAAGCTCAGGTCAATGAATATTTATTTAACATTTTACTTCTGACATTACTGATTCCGAGTAGATCGCGGCTTAGCCAATATATTAATTTTCGACCGAGCTCTTCCATCAATTTGAGGTTTTGTATCTTGGTGTTTATTCCAGCAAATAGAGGGACCTACAGTTTATACTTAGCCGCCTCCGAATGACTGATTGTTTTTTTATGAATAGCTTTATTTAATGTCAGAATTACACTCGGGGGGTTGACTTTTTGGATGTTAGTAAGACACCAAGATTTGAGCCCGAGCCTTCCGAATGGCAGTACGCAAGGCTAACAACTCGTTTACGCGGCCGTCAGGCTTAGCCAATGGTATGTAAAAGGCGTAGCGCACTAGATATTATTGTTCCTATAACTTCGGGGATGCTGATCACTGAGAAGCTGACTTGTTGTCTACCTTTATAAATACGCAAGAGATCTCTGAGGGAACCCCAAGCACACACAAATGTCCAAACCTTCTTAGTACTTAGCTTCACCGTTAGTATAGTTTTACCCGTCTCCACAAATGTAATTTGCTCACGTTGAACCACATCAGCAGTGCATTGACCACGAGAGTCGAAAGCGGAGGCGATAGTTTTACTCCCTGTGGCATGCTCAGCGTAAGCTCATCCAAACCTTCTGTCCACTAGTCCGTCAAGCTGTTCATACTTAAGCATTTTCGTCACTCTCCTCTTCTTCTTTTGGCCGTAAATACATCTCTGTTCCCTCTTAAGTTCTAGATATCACTTTTATTTGAAGGCATTTTATTCGTCAAATGGATTTAGGTCGCTACGAAGTGGGGCGAAAATATGGACATATGGATGTTAGTCTACATATAATACAGATGTATGTATGTATGCATGTATATATAAAATAACGGCAAAATCAACGTAAACGATTTGAGTATTGTTTAAATTGCCGGATGTGTGTGTGTGTGTGTTTGCCGCGTCGTGTGACCCAATGGCAAATATTTGTTTGGCAAACGCCATCACATAACCAACTCGCAAATACTGTAATACACACATACACACACACACACACACACAAATATAAATATATATATATATATACACCTTTATATGTACGTATTTGTCTAACATAACCAAAATTGTAAGCGAGCATAAGCAAATACATGCATATGTATATATATGTATATATCTGTAAGCATACCCAAAAATAAAATTACCGTTACGCATATACAACATTGACTTTTCGGGCAGTTACAGCAGTCGAGACATCACCTGCCAACAATATTCACCCATACATTGGCCATTCACATACATACATACATACATACATATGTACATATGTACATACATACATGCAAATCAAGCGCACGTCCTTACACCTAAGGACAACACAGCCACGCTGGCATGAGTACATATTTACACACACTAAATAAATGCATATTTGTTTTAGCGTTATACCTACAAACATATATACATAAATACATACATACATACATACATATGAATGTACAAATATCCATACTTATTTGCACAATATTTGGCATTTGCTTTTATTTTGATTCGTTTTTGCTTTTTATTATTATTCTTCTTCTTCTTGTTTTCTTTATCTGTTCTTCTTCTTTCTCTGTTTTTTCCTTTGCGTCTATTATTTAGGGTTACATGTCTGGTGGTGCCGGTTACGTGCTCAGTCGTGCCGCGTTGCGTCGCTTTGCAGAGGTCTCCGCATCCAATACGAGCGCCGCCTGCACACAAAATCAACTATCCGAGGACAAAGAGATGGGAATTTGTTTGCAAAATGCCGGTGTTGTGGCGGGTGATGCGCGCGACGCTGAGGGCGCCGAACGTTTCCATCCACTGGCGCCGATACATCTGATACCTGTCGATACGTCGGAATGGTATCCATTATACCTCTTCTACAAACGCGATAAGGTCAGTTGGACAAAGTAGAGTAAAGTTTTAGCTGTTAGAGTAAGAGTTTGTGTCGGGTTTTTGTTTTGGGGGTGGCGCGCTCGAGTTGGGCTGTAGCTGTGGTTGGATTTCTGGCGGGGTTGGGCTGTTGGCGCGAGTAGTGGCGTAAGAAATTGCAACTGTCGACTGTCGAATGGAGATTAATTACTTACCTGCTTGCCTGTTTGTTTGTTTGTTTGTTTGTTTGCTATTTTCATTACATTTTATTGCTCCAGCAAATTTTGGGTAGATTTGCCAAATTACTTTTGTTTATCTTGCCAATTTCGGTTTTTGGCGATGTGGCGGCCGCAATAGACGAGTGGTTGGCATTGCGTAGTGCCATTCTGGAAACCAGGGTTCTTGTACTGGATGGACCAACAACAAAATTTACTGAAAATTAATTTTTCTAATTTCGGTCGCCTCTCGGCAGGGAATGTTAAACCCTCCGCATATATTTCTGACATGAAAAGCTTTTCATAAAAACCCAGCGTCAGTTCGGAGGCGACTTAGAAGGAGCAATAGGTCCTCCATACCACAAATTCGAGGGGAAGCCCGGCCGAAAATCACTTCAGCGGCTAGAGCGCGCCAACTACCTACACACATACATATGTCTACACTTACTCGTATGCAGATTTTATCACTTTCTTTCTTTCAATTTAACTTTCCGTTATATTTATTTTAGAATCTACAATGTTGTTCGCGCAGCGCCATTTCTTTTCATTACATTAAACCAAAGGAGTTCTATGTCTTGGATTATCTCCTCTATGAATTGCGCCCGTTTGGCGTGGCGAATGTCGCAGACACGTTACCTGGCAAGGCGAATATGACGTCACTGCTTGAACGATGGAAGCATGAGGTGTCTGATAATATATTTAAGGACGAGGATTAGCGCAAGGAAAGTGTGGTAATGACTTAAAAGGATTAAGGATATCGATGCGCCTGTCTTTTTATTGAATTACACAGGAATTTACTAGTGCATCAAAACAATTTTTATATATTTATTTTTCACAATATTATTTATTATTAATTAAATAGATAAATTATATAATATTAGAAAGAGAGAGGTATTTGAAAACACCCAAAACCCGATAGTAGGTACTTCTATTTGGTTTGTAGTGGAGGGTAATTGGTAAGTAGTTTTTAGTTAAAACTCCTACAGGTTCAGTCCTACCTCGGAGTATGCTTTCTCATCGCATACTCTAGGAACACAAAGAACCTTTCTGTCAGATGCGGTAACAATCGGGGTAGAGCTTTGTGCTACGACTACAAGTGATGGGGATTTAGTGAAGCCACAACACACATATTCGGCTTAAGTGTTCACTAGAGTTTGTTTGCAACGTTTGTTCCACAGCGGTTCGGCTGCGTACGATCGTCGTTTTGTGAGACAAGCAACTCGCTATATAAATGTGTCCTTAATAAACACCTAATCACGCAGCGAGCCTTTCAGGCCGTCTTATTGATATCTGTCCCTTTGAAAAACAAATCAGAGATATTTTTGATAAAGCCAAATCCAACATTTTAAAGAATACGATTCAAGGGTAAGTAACTGCAACGTCCGGCCCTTTAATTTAGAAGGTACCGCCGCACAACAAGAGCAATGATGGATGAAAATTTTTCCGTGTGTAATTTTCTACAGCGGTCATAAGTCGGAGCGCAAATTTGGTATCGGATTCGATGAGAGAAGCTCAGTTGCCAACCCTTATCATTCACTTTCATATTAAAGCGAAGTTCTTCAATATATTGAATATTTGTGCCATTAAAAGCAAGGAAAATGTGATCAAAGCTGCCTATTATGGGCGCCCGAAACATACACATGAATGCTGTTCTCGTCACGATGTCAAAATTATGCTTGTCGGCTTTAATATCAGGCGAGAAGGTATCTTCTACACAATACTTGAAGAAAAAACTATCCCGAATGAATGGGTTGACGCTGATCGACTCGCTGAAGCCCGAAATACTGTCGTCTGTTGCACTATGTGTGATTTCAGCATTAGATTTAGCATTCATTAACCTACATGGTTGTTCTGCAGCCAAGTGCCCACGCTCTGAGAAACTATAATCGAATCACTACCTTGTACCAGTAAAGATAACCATCTATCTCTGTACAAAAAATACGTAGCACCAAAGGAGATGATCTGGTAACTGGTTTCCATAGTATACTGTATATACTGAGTTTATGTAGAGAACATTTCTTCAGCATCCGAAATTGCAGTGAAAGAGCACTTTCGAAGGTGGTGAACCCAAATCGATGACGCTGTACCATCGTTTCAATACCCAACTATGGCGAAGTTCTAATAGCAGAGCGGAAGAAGCCGATGGCGTACCGGCTGAGTTATTCAAATATAGCGGCGAAGAGCTGACAAAGTTTCTTTGGTAGGACAAAAGCATGTCCGACTATTGGCACTTAAGCGTGCTCTGTCTAATCAGTGCATTCCTCCCAGAATCAGTCTTACCAACAGATGCTAGTTTCAACTAAGTAGACCATTGAAAGGCAAAGTCTACTCTCGACTTTGCCAAGCCGGTTTTCATTCCCTTTAAGCTACGTTTTGCGATGATAGGAGGGCGCTAGGGGTCTTTGAGAGAAAGATTTTGCGGAAGATTTATGTTCCTCCGCGCAAAACCGACAGTGAATACTGCAGATAATGGAACGATGAGCAATGTAAGATATATAATTGATACTTTGTAATTCGGCCGCCTTTCACCGCCAGTGTGTCTTGATATTTTTGCTAGTGCCGTATAGTAGTACGCACTACCAACCATTCGGCTATGGCAGCCGCCGACAACGATCTATGAGGGGCGGCTGATAAGTTCCCGGTCTACAGTACAATACTTAATTCTAATTAAAATTCTCTTTAGCAAGTAATCAATTAATAATATTCCCTCACGATCCCTGGTGGTCTTAGGTGGTCTTTTCCCTTTTTATCTACTGCCCAGACTCCTGTTTGGGCGCGGCATCATACTGGCGAATCCAAATTTCATCCAAATCATCTTGGTACAACTCCAAAAAATCTTTACAACTCCCCAATCGTTGCTGATTGTCGAATGATTCTACGATCAGCCAATACTAATTTTCCGACTTTCTGAACCTTTTCTTCGGTCACGACCGCCACTGGGTGCCCTGGAGGGGTCAAGCTGAAACAGCCAAACCCATTTCTTTACCATCATTTATGAAGGGGCAAGTCATAAAGAACCGCTGACATCTCTTTAAAAATTCCTTTCCACGTAGTTCCTTTTTATCAGGAAGTTATTCGCAGCGCGGTGTTCCGTTGACATTGTAGTATTATCAGTGACGAGATGATGAGTCATCTCTAACTACCTTAAATCGCGAACTTATCAGCCGCCCCTCGTAATTAAGTAAATTTAGAGACCGCGGCTACAAAGCCTAGGTCATGTTGCCAGGAATAGAAAGACTGCAACTTTAAAGGAATTCGACGCAGTGTCCGGAAGACCTCAGCTCCGTTGTAAGGGTCATTTGTAGAAAGACCTGCTTTAAATTGTCTTTTCAATTGGCGCTGAAGGCCATAAAGAAGAAACAACTGACGATGAATAAGATCCATCGTTTAAAAGAAGAATTAGGTAAAAATTCTATGCCTAGAAGTAAGGAATCGTCTGTAAGGATCATCTGACAACATACGCTGTTGATGGATATTCGACTTTCCCTTGTGATACGGTTATATTTGCTCGCAATTAACCCTTAGATTGGGAGACTTACAATTTATAGTTTTCAATCAAATTGCTGATTGATTGATTACAATGTAATTACATATATAATTCGGCAAATTCGAAATAAGAATTTATGTCAACTTGTATATTCTGCACCCTTTTTTCATAGACACCGTTTGCCAATCACCCCTTTGACTTCCTTTCAATCCCTGGCAATTGTGTCATTTTTACGAAATCTGTCATTTAAATTGCTTTTGCAGAAAAAGCAACAACAATAACGAAGTGCAAGTCCATACATTGGAAAATCATCCACTCAATGAAAGTAATTTTTCTTGATTCCCCTTACTGCACGCGAAATGCGTAAGGATGTGTGCAAGAATCCATCACTTCGATTATCACTTAAGTATGCAGCGACAGAGTCCGCGTGCGGGCATGCACACACTGAGCGCCCCACAAACGCCTGTGCCAATATCCAATTACAAAGTTGAACTTTGCAGTTCGCAACGTTAACTCTTAGTCCATAGCGACTTGAGAAATTTGAGCACATACCGCCAGATTAAAGCAAAAAAAAAAAATGTATATATATATAAAGTGCCAAGAAAAAGCAGGAAAAAGCGAAAGCAGAGAGTGTGCGAGTCGGGCCAGCAGTTGCTTGCAATGCAATAAAAAGAACAAACACTTAAGTGTGCCGTCCGTCTGTCCATCCGTTCGCTCGTTCGTTGCAATGTGGCAGCTTTGTGCACTGGGAGTGGCATGTGGCAATTTATCATGTGGCGCGTGGTTCATACACATTTTTCGCCGTCTTCGATCGCCGCCACAGTTGAGTCGTGTACACACGGGTGCAGAGTTGCGTGGAGTGTCGTACTCTGCGGCTGAATTGACGTACGCCAATTTATCATTGTTGCTGCTGTTGCGGAGTGTTGGCGTTTTGCATTGTCAGCCGGTCGCTTGGTTTTTAGTGGCATAACGGGAATCTGAGTACGAGCAGCAGTAGTTCAAGTCGATGTAGTGGTGACACGCGCAGGCATGGCTGTAGCGCCAAGGATTATGACTGAACCGGAAAATCACATAAAACGTGACGCACACGTGAAAATTACCTGGGGAGATTCCATCGATTGTGCGTGTGTGTGTGTGTGTGTGTGTGTTTGTTTGTGTATATTTACTCTACTTAATTTTGAACGCATTTTTTCGTAGCCTTTTTTGTTATTTATGGACATGAAATTCAAAAGTGAAGAACCGGAATTGTAAGCCGACACATGAAACGCTGGCGCCCCATACAAAAGCAAATGACGAAGCGGTCGTCCCTTCGTCTCATCAAATGCAGAATCCGCTTTGCTGTGGTGGCATGGCATGCTTATACAATGACAGCAGGATTTACGAGTACTTTGCTCACCGTCAATATCGCCGCACAGCTGACGATGATGAGCTCAGTGTAGAATTTATAAAAAAATATTTAGTAAGGAAGAGCTTAGTTAGTTGGAGTTCAGGTTTCTCAGTGTTCAGTTAATGGTAGAAAAATTGCCGATCGGTAGAGATGAAAATAAGACTCTTTAAGTTCCATGGAAGTGGAGAATATTGAGCTACAAAATCGCTCTCTATTTCGAGGGCCTCTTTCGGAGTTTATGCTGTAGGCATACCGTATAAACTCCGATTTGGCTGAGAGACAATCACTCTCTGTGAACCTGGATAATCCGGAGGTTCCTACTTTACGAAAAAGACTAAGCCACGCACTTCACCCACCAACTTTAAGTGGGAACATTATAACACCCTCCAATTCGACCTAGTATCCATAGTATTATAAGGAGTACTAGTATCATGGGCGACATTAAAGGTAAGCCAGGATCAGGGGACTTCTTTGACTGCCTCAAGAATCAAGGTAGCCCAAACTCAAAGACGAAAAACTCTATCTCCCAAGCAGAGATTGTAAGAAATCTACACGGTTTCTCGTTGACAGCCAAGCTGAAATTAATGAAATTAAAATTAAATTAAATAACATGTAAAACGCGCTTAACAGGCCGCCATGAGAACTTAACTCGGGTCTGCGGTTGCACGGATGTAGATGATAACTAAAGGGCGCATAAATTAGCTCACACTGCTGACAGCCTGGGACCTTTCAGTTCCTTAAACTTTTACTAAAATTTGTTGAGGAAAAATTACGGTCCTTGATCATTTCCAACGCAGGGCGTATCACTAAACTACTGCTGGGCAGCGTAGAGTGCTGACAGATTAAACTGTTACTAGTACTAAGCAAACGTTGGCACAGTGTCCGTCTGATTTCCTACATCATCACTTCGACATCATCAAAAAGTAGT